CCCGGGCTTTAGGGGGGCCCCTCACTTGTGAGCTCGTAGCATAAGACCTGCTTAGCATTTACTGCGGCCATTATTGCCCGACTCTCAGTTGTGTGGCTGTTCGACTCTCAGTTGCCCCTGTTTGGCTGCACGCATTTTGGATTTGGCCTCCTCTGTGTGGCTATTACCCAAAAGCACTTGTGACCTTTCATGCTAGCAAGGGCAGAAGAGAACTTGGCCTTTGGTATGGTTGGGGATCCTTTGGAACCCGCACATACGGGTTTTGCTTTCGCATACCAAACATTGGGTTGTTTGCTCCTTTAAGTGTATCACTGATTCGTGCACGTGCTTCAGTTGAATGATTGGACCCAGGCGAGAGCCTGCTACTGGAAGGATATTGTACTCGGGAGGTTCTAAATCAAATCGTTTTAGAACCTTTAGCACCGATTCGCAATATTAGCGACAATACTAGGCTTCTTAAGCCTACTTTAATATGGCGCTATATCTGACTGATTTCCCGCGGCTTAATGCCTGTTCCATGAAAACAGGGTTACAGTTAAGACGATTCGCTAGAACTATTGAGCTTTATAGCATTTACCATTGATGTTATCAACAAGACAGTAGACTCCGGGGAACTTATGGTTCTCTTTAACAATTTCATCCCCTTTGATGGCTCTCATATAAAGCGACACAGAAGGAGGGTTGTGGTCATTAGGGCAAGAGCTAGATGCCAACTTTGCTTGCCCCTTGGCAAACCAGGTAGAAGTAAGGGAACTTGCAATAAGGTTAAGGCCCAGAGAATAAGGAGCAATGATTGTGAAACAAGGAGGTATTACGGAGACAGGAAGGAGAACTGCAAATGCAGGGTATAAAATGACATGAGTCGGCATGGTAGCAAGAACCAGGAGAAAAAGGTAAGAGGGTAACACTAGAAGGGCAGGTAAGGCTGAGATAGTTCAGAAGGCACTTCTGGTGTAAGCGAATTAGGGAGAGAAGCTTTCACCTCCTCTGCTGAGACAGGAAGCAATAACAGAGCCTCGGAAGGCATATTCTGTTCAGAACTTTGACCTATGGTATCACCATAGAAGTAAGAAGGTAATGAATCCTCCTCCCCGAAGAGTAAAGCACCTATTTGAAACGAAAGTAAGAGACCCAGTATAAATCCCTCTGATATCAGCAGATATAGTCATACTGGAGTGAAGCACAGAGTAACAACCCCTTCATTTTCCCCAGGGATGTTGGGACTTCGCATTTAGCATAGTAAGCCTTGGTGGGTTGACATTCCTCCTTCATGGTAGCAAGACCCTAGAGTTAAAGTCAACCCTACGAATAAGGAACGTAAAGCAAGTCAAACAGTTCTACACTGAGTGTGAAGAAGAGTTTTACTCATTCCTTGGAACAATGAACCTTGCTATTCTGTGCTTAATTCTAGTGTGATTCTTTGTTGTTATCCCAGAAGGGGTTTTACTGGGGCTTATTCTAGCTATTCCGATGACTAGTATGCTCTTTGCGTTGGAGGATTACGAGATTTCATCAGGGAGGAAATCACTCCTTCATCAAGTCCTCTACTTCTCATTCCTTCGTCTTGGTGATGTCTTTCACTTTCACTGACTCCTTCGGTTCCTGAGCCTGTATTGTTCCTGAAACCTCCATAGCTCCGCTTAATACTGGTGCCCCTGCCGTGTTACTTCCTGCATCGGCTAACTCGCTTATCCTTGTTCCAGCTACTGAGTCTATCTTACTGATACCTGCTCCTACTGTCAATATCTTGCCTGTCTCAGCTCGTTCTTAGGTATTAGCCCAACCTAATCTGATTTCACCTTCTACCTTAACCCTTCTCTCACTAAGGGCTTGTTTTGCTACCATCCACAAGTGGGCAACTTCGTTTCTTCTAAAGCTGATACTAAGGGGTTACCTAAAAAGGGTATTAGTGTTCCCTTGCTATGCAAAGGAGCAAGTAGCAAGCATAACGTAGATACAGGCTATTCCTATGATTATGCAGCTAACTAAGGGCCGTTCAGGGTCTACATTTGGACCAATATGCTTAACGGTAAACGTTATACTGCTAGTTCTACTAACTTATACTCTCGCCTTTCGTGTTACTTCCGGTTAGAAGAGGGGGGTTTAAGTGGGTTCTCTGTTATTTACATGCTGAAGCACGGTTTAACCTCCTTCTCTTTGATTAGCATCTTTTGTTGGTATGCTTGGTATGGTTGGTAGCATAGCAACCATAGCAACCATGATAAAGAACGGTCTTAACCTTAGAGCAGTATCTAATAGATAGCCTACACCCAGAGTATAAGATACTTGCTAGCATGAAAAGTCGTAGTTTTCAGACTAATGGATTAGTGTCTTCCTTAAACCCCCCTCTTCTTATTCTTAGGAGGGTGATGGTTAACAGGAAGGGAGTCTTTAACCTTCCTCCTCTTAACCAAGGATGTGTAGTTCCTTGGTTATGGAGACTTAATAAGGGCTTAATCGACGAATCCATTGAGAGAACTTAGGCTTCCATCTGATGAGTTCCTCTTTAGAAACCATATTAGGGGCGCCGGCCCTAATTAAGATGTTAAGGGGAAGGTAGTGCATGTGAACGGCTCGGGTCAAGGGATTCAGGTAGTAACAGGGAAGAAGATAAGGTAAAGAATTGGGGGGAAGCTTTGATATCCTTTCTAGGGGTAGGCCCCCGGGGCTTTCCTATTAAAGATAGAAGTTCATTCTTACGTTTAGATTCGTAGAAAGAAGGCCAACAATACGAGGGGGGGCCTAAAGGCGGCCT